GTCCGCCCCGCATTCCACTAAGAGCCTTACCCGGTCGCCAGAACTTCACGGGCCCCACGGGCGCAGCCATGCTGGGGTGAAAGGTGACGAGGAGGGCTCCACCCCTCCACGCCTCCGTCGCGCGCGAGCCGGGCCAGGGGCGTGGCCCGCGAGGAGTCCTGGGCTCCCAGGCGCCACTGAGTAACGGCCACGCCCCCCGAGGCAACCGCCCCCTGTGCGCCACGTGACCTACATTTTGGCCCCCGGGAGCAGTCTGGCCCCGCCCCCAGGCCCACGTGACCCGCTCCGCTGCGGCGCAGGGCTGGGCGCGCTTCTCCGTCTTCCGCTGGGGTTGCGCGGCTCCGGTGGCGGTAACGGGAGCGCGGCGTGGCCCGGGCGGCCGCCCGCCTCGGAAGGGCGAGCTGTGGGAAGCGCGGCCGGCACGGAGTGGGCACGGAGGCAGGGCATCGTAAATTAGCTGCTAAGTACCGATTATGTCGCGAGCTGCCTCCCAGCAGCTTTCCTGTGTGTCTGTCGCTCTCCGCCGTAGTTTCAGGTGGAAGGACAAAACCACCCTGTGTGTGTGCTGGTTCCGCGTTTCCCGGGCGCACGGGACTGCGGTTTTCAACTCCTGCCTTCGGGGGGCTTCTGCTCAAGGTGGAGGCCAAAGTGAATAGGAAATGAAGTGCCCGGTAAACGGTGGTGTTTATTACTAGCAGGAAGCGAAACAATGGCACCCGGCCTAGAAGGAAGTCTTCAGGGGCCTTGAGAGTGGTGCTGGAAACGGGGATGGAAACGGTTTGGAAGAAGAGGCTTAGAAGCGGGTAGGTGAGTGGGGTGGACGCGCACCCAGCGCTTCCCGCCATGTGACTGCTCACCCGACCCAGATGCTCGTGAGAAACGCAGGTGCCAGTCCCCGCTCCATCCCGGAGCCAGAACCTCCAGGCAGCGGCCTGGGAACCTGCATTTTAACAAGCCCCGCAGATGACTCTTTTACTCAGCAAGCTTGGGAAAGCTTTCACCAATCCAAAGGAGAGCTAATGAGCCCAAGTAGAGGAACTATTTTATGGGTAGGCGACAAGTTAGAAGTGAGAGGCTTCAGAATCTAGGCCATTTTTAGAGCTGTGAAGAAAATTCCGCACTTTTTCAGAGAAGTGACATAGTCTAGAAAGATGAAGGGTTGGAAACAAAGTAGGCATGACTTGGAATCCTAACTTTGCCATTTCCTAGCTTCTCCCTGTCATCTAATATTTAAAAAGGTTGTATTAAATGAGATAGCGTGTAAAGTGCCTAAGGCAGTGTAGGACCCAGCGACCATTCAAATAGAGCAAATGGGGGCGGGGGCTAAATTTATATGCAGACATTCATTTTCCAAATTTCTTCATTTCCATAATAATGAAAATAGGATTCAACAGCTGATAATCCCCCTGCCTAGAATTCTCCATCCGTCCTTTAAAATATCCTCATAACGGTCAGCTCTAACAATGCTTCTCTAAACTGTCTGACTTAAGCATTACCCCTCTGCAGGCTCAGACCTACATGCTCACTTTTGTTGAACTATAGTCAGTCTCCACTATTACACTGTAAGCTTCTTGAGGACCAGGACCATGTCACGTTCATATCCTAGCCCAATAACAAAGTGCCTATTGAGCAATGTATATGTGAACACCATGTTTTATACTTATTTTTAGTTCTTCATAACATAGATCCTTCCTTTATTTTTGTCTGATTTCACTAAAGGCCCAAGTATAGAAAAGAGTTTATACATGAATACAAGGGAAAATACAATAAATGTCACTTTTTATTATTTCTGTATTTTATAAATTATTCATATGATTTATATAAAAAAGTCATCCTATTTACAGAGACAGTAAAGCTGGAGGAGACTTTAATCAACATCTAGTCTGGAAAAGCATTTGAGATTTTGCTCCCCAGTATATGTCATCAGTTTGGCTCAAATAAAATCTTATTTTAAAACATTTTTAAAATCTATTCTAAATACTGTTTTATAGAAAAACAGAGGCCCATGGAGGCTAATTAAATCAATGAGTTAATTTTGTATCAGAACTGAAAACAGAACTCAGGCTTTCTAATTCCCAGGCCAGTATTTTTTCAACCACATGTACCATTTAAAACCATCAGAGCTTAGCTCTCCTAGATGTGAATTAGTTCATCTGTCCCGGAAAGTTCTCAAAGCCCAGCTGTCCCTAATAAGTTGTTTTGCTTACAGATGTCTATTGGAGAAAACACCTATGCGGTTATCAAGATGTTGATGGTTTGATTTTACTGTCACAAACTGGGAATGGTCCTAATAGACTATCTTATCCTTTCTAATTAACTATTTTCAGAAAGAATGGCCTAAAATAACATCTCTAAAATTAAAACCATTATGTCTTGAGATGGCATCCAGAATTTAGTTCATTTATTTATTTAGTTCATTGCCAACAATTCCATGACAGTTTGATCATTTTGTTACATAAGGGTTACATTTTGCAGCTTCTGAATAACAGGTTTTCCAGAAAGATGCTCCTCAAAATCATGTTTAGTGAATGCATGGTAGTTTTTCTGTGCCTATGGTAACTGGTACTTTCTGCTTTGAACAATTTCTAGTCCAGCCATCTTGGCCATGTTTAGGAGGCAGATTTAGGAGTTTTCGGCTTTGTACCAGTCAAGACTTTTATGAAACAGGTGATACTCTTGCTCAAGCAAAAAATGGCTCATATAAAGTCCAAGAGTAGTTCTGACTTGAGACGTGGCTGCATTTGTGATGATATTGTTCTGTCTTCTACTGGCTCGTAACAACTAGATGGCCATGTCAGCTTAGCCACCACATCCTCTCAACATTAAGCCTCTTTCCAAAAGTCTGTAGGAAAAGTACCTGGCCGGGTATCCATCCCTGCATCAGTCACAAGGGCCAGCAACTATGATGTATTGGCTTACACATAGGTCACACACTCCACCCCAAGTCAGATGTGCTCAGCGTCACCAGAACCACATGGACTCAGTTGGGAACAGAATGGTTCTTCAGAGGGAAATCTCAGGGTGAGAGTATCAGAGGGCAAATGAAGTAAAAATAACAGATGATGACCATTACATTATCCATGTAGTCACATGCTAGAACTCTTGGCTTCCTAAGAAAAATCCTAATTTCTCTTGGGTCTGTTTCAAGCCAGACCAGAGCCACCTTCCAGCGTGAAAAGAGGCTGTCCTTTGTAGAATTGCTTTTACAGAATTGCTTTTACTGGGATTTTCCACTGAGTCTAAGTTTCAGCCCTCTGAAATGTGTAACATATGTAAACCTGTCTGGTTTGTTGGCTTGCACACAAGAGATCAAGTTCACAAATGTATTAGCATGTTTCCTTAGCTCCAAAGATTTGGGTACAAAGGTGTGGAGAGATTCACTAAGGGAGGAGACTCAGCTACCAGGGGAGCCTATCATGTTGGCCTGAGGAACATGCACGTCTAAGGAGTTGGATGAGTTGGGGAGGGCCTCCAGAGGTTGGTCAGAGCTTCCTAGATACGATGACGATATTTTATCATTCAAACTGGGACACTTGAGAATTGAAGCATGAACTGCAACTCTGCCAGGCAAGCTGGGGCATATTTCCAGGTGTGTGGCACCAGTGAACCTGTCATAACACTCATCTGAACATATTCAGATGTGTCCCATGCTTACACGATACGTCTAAGTACATCCAGTTCATTTATAGGTATGAGACTGCCCTGTGGAGGTTAGTGTCTGGGCGCACTCAGAATATGTCATTGTGTTTATCATCGGAATGCTTAACTATCATTTTGATAAGAGGATTCTTGTGAGAAATCCTTACCTGATTTTCATACTGAGGATTGTTCTTCCTGTACCTGGGACTTACCTTAATCTTAGATCTTGAGGGACATTGTGAATGGTGGATCCAACCAGGTTTCTCTTTCTGCTCTGGCCACTGAGAAGCTTCCTACCCAAAGTAAGTGTGTTGGTCACTGTGGCATGCACCTGTAGGCTCATTCCTGACTCCATTTTGTATTCCCCACCCTTGGGTTTCTTTCATGTAACTTTTCATTCACATGATCTTGAACGTTTAGGTCCTGTTAAGTAAAAATAGAGACTCCCTGGTCCAACTACCTACAGAGGTGGGGAGGCCATCTCTTTAGTTGACTCAAGTCTTTCAATTGTTGACAATGCAATTGACCCTGATTGTACTGATCTCGAAGTTGAATAGATCTCTAATTCAAACAATAATCAGGGAGGAAAAAAATGAGACAACTGAATTTGAATACTATTTATTTTATGATACTGAGGCATTTTTATCAAAGTTGTTTAGGTGTGATCATGGTAGTGTGGTTATGTCTTTTAGGGTGTTTTTTTAAGTAAGCTTTTATCTTTTCGATATATACTGAAATATTTATAACCTCATCAGCAACAGTCAAGTCTGACATTAGATAAGGAAATATAATTCTCTCCCAGGGAGTGGCAACAAGTATTTTTGAACCAAATAGTTTTCCACACCCACCTTCCCCCTCCCCTGGGAGTGGGGCCAATAATCTGTTGAACTTTAAAGGACCCAGCTAACTCTGATGCAGCTGGTTCTCAGACCTCACCTTGAGAAACTGCACTATAGTGACACTCTCCAGACAAGCGCCAGAAAAGCTCTGCATACTCTGAGAGATCGGGCCATTTTCTTAGGATTCCATACACCTCTGGTTCTCATTTCTAATCACTGACAACACTTTCAGAGAATGGATCTGAGTCCTGTACACAAAGAAGGACTGTGGTCAGGTAGGCTAGTGCTAAACCATATACCTGCCCTCTGCTAAGGAAGTCACCGTGCTCATACCTCATTCAAAAGTCTGAGTGGTCCTACAGTAAAGAATCCTATTTAAATTTATGATCCATCATTTCCCAAACTGAACACAGAACCTTTTTTATGAACACCTATGAATAGTTCCATAGGAAACACTGAGTTGAAATTTCAGGCATACCCACATTCGTTTATGAGGTTAAAATTTGTTTTCACTCACCACTGCATTAACTGCCATTTCTCAAGGTACACCCTCCAATGCCTCCATACTCTCTGTAAAGATACAGCAGTATAACAGAGTACTGGACTTAGACTCTGAAAACCTGTATGTTTGTGTCACCATTTACCAGCCATGTGACCTTGAATACGTTACTGACTTAATCTGAGCTTCAGTGTCTTCTACTGAAAATTGGGAATAACATCTGTCCAAACACTATGTTGCTGTGAAGGTCAAAGAGAACACAGAGGAGCCCTGGCCGGTGTGGCTCAGTTGGTTGAGTTGACCGTGCACCAAGAGGTCACCGATTCGATTCCTGGTCAGGACACATGCCTGGGTTGCAGGCTTGATCCCCGGTAGGGGGTGTACAGGAAGCAGCCGATAGATGTTTCTCTCATCAATGTTTTCTTTCCTATCTTTCCCCCCTCTCCCTTCCTCCCTCTCTAAAAATCAATAAAAACATACAGTATTAAAAACAAAGACACAAACAATGCAGATGTGCTCATGATCTAGGTGTATCAGCATGTGTTTACATGGTGGACAACACCCTCCCCTATTACAGACCTCTTTTGCGCTAGCCACGTCAGGAGGAAGCCATCATTTAACTCTCTTCCTTTTGTCTGTCCATGTAATTGAGACTAGATAAAAACAGAATTCCACGGCTATGCCAACCCTGATTAGCAGGGTGTAGAAACCAGTTGCATTGCCTGCCAATGGACTAGGAATCTGGGATAATTGTCAGTGTCCTCTTTGCCCCTACTCCCGGATATTAGATTGCTAAATCATTGTCAATACACCCATCTGTTGAAATTAAGCCCGTGGGGCCACTAGAGTTAATATCAGGGATGAATCCAGAAATGCAACTAAGGCCTTCGTTCGCAGAGAAGCAGAGAACTAAGGTCACGGTCTAAATAGCTCAAGCCTTTTCTTTGAAAAAAGACAGCTACAGGCACATGAAAAGACCTGCGATTTCTGGCAAGTGTCCTCATTCAAACTATAGAAAGAATAACATCAATATTCATATTGCTAAGGAAGGGGTGACCCTGATGCTTACTTCTTTATGTCTTCTAACTTTTAAGTGAATGTCTTTTTTACAATTTGGATCATCTACTTTTTCTTCACGCAACAATATAAAAAAGTTGCATAAATAGCTATTAGATAGGTGCATTACTTATGACACACTCCCAGAGTTAAAGAGAAAAATGCCCGAAAGAAAAAAAGAAAAAAAAGGTACTCAAGCAATCACCAAAAAAAGTTGTTTATATTTAGTTAATTCTAAGAACACAGATTTCCTAAAGAAGAGACAATTAATAAACTGGTTATTCTAAACAGGATTTTGATCATAAAAACTAGTGATTCAAAGCTCTAAAACAGAACACACAAATCTAGAAAAATGCAAAACATATTTTATCTCTTACCAGAATTTACCTCTTTAAGAGATATCAATGTTTAAAATGTGCAAAGAGCCCTCGCCGGAATTGCCCAGTGATTAGAGCATCAGCCCAAGCACTGAAGGGTCACAGGTTTGATTCCCAGTCAAGGGCACGTACCTGGGTTGCAGGTTTGCTCCCCGAC